ACTAGAAAAAAGAAGGAAAGAGGATACAAATGTTAATAAACAATTTATCGATAATTGATAAAGCAGTTCTTTATATCAACACGCAGGCCCAGCATAAACACACGCAAAAAAAAGGGATCATAATCTGAAAAAGTAATGAAGGCAGTGAAATCTCTATTTCAAAAATATTGACTAGCATGTCAATGTTTTCATTTAGCATAATTAGGCTTAACTGCAATATCAAGCAGAAGAAATACCACTATCTTTCCAAATAATGAAAATAATTTACACAATACTATTGAGAAGATTGCAATAACTTCTTAACAACAGCATATTAAAGATATTTTGTGCAATAATAATTTATGTATACAAAGAATTTTTACCAGCTTAACGCAGAAACTTTCTTATTTCAATTAATTTTCAACTATTTAATTGGCCAGAGGTTAAAAATGTCCAATGCAAAAGACACACATAAAAATATTCTAACTTCAGAAATGTCCATTGAAATAAATGTCCAATTAATACATTTTTATTTTAAAAAGTACAAAAAAGAAAAATGTCATCAAAAAACTTTATTCAAGTTCTTTCTGCAGCATTATTTTTTCCGACTATAACTCAAGCTACAAAATAGTATATGATGAGAGTCCGGAAGTTCAGGCATTTATTCTTGCCATAGTAGGGGTGCAAAAAGGCATTCCAACAATGCAAAATTACCATATACAAGGAAGGATTGTAAACATGAATAATTGAAATGATTCATGTAAGCTCTCATGTGCCACAGAAACCTCCTGATACTAACATGGTAAGCAGCAACCGTGTACTAGAATTAACTGTAAAAAGCTGCAATTGGATTATTTATCTTCTGATGTCCATGTGTAGGCAGATGTTCCAAATTGCTGGTGGATATCTTACGGGTTCGGCATCTTGATCACATCTACCTCTCACATGTATAAATTGTGTATAATAAGCCAGTTCCATTATGTCTTCGCCAATGTCATCATATAATTGATAAAATGCATCTTCCAAATTTTCTGAAGAACTTGAATTTAGCATCTGTTTAGAGGTGCTTCGATTTTAATACATAATTCATGTAAACCAAGACTAATGACTTTCCTTTATATTGATTGTGTTAAATGGTAAAGAAAACCATTAATGCTTGCATGGGGAAAGTGATTTTGTTCTGCATTCATGTTCACCATTTCCAAATCTGTTCCAAAGGATGGAGGATGTAGTTCAAATCCGTGTCAGTAAGATTTGGGAGTAGTTTCACAGCAAGACAAAAACTAACAGAAAAGTAAAATTATTTATGTCATATATAGTGAATAATTGAAAATAAATTTGGCACTACTAATCTCCTTAGCAATACCTATACCACTATATTACTTGGCAATGTAATTATTTTATTGTTTTAGTGTTAATGCATCTAGTCATTTTTATGTATAGAAACAATTTGGACATTTTTGTTTGTGGACGTTCCTGCCTCTGAACATTTAGCAGTTGACTATATTAAAATTTTTGCAGGTAGACTTTTATGTCACTGGACATTCACAAGTGATTTTAAACTGAAACCATTTAATCAGATACATTAAGAAATAAATAAGTTATATTATAGACAAAAATTAAAAATGGGAGTGACATCACATGGACCTGTAAATATAAAATTATGTATATATAGATATCAATAAAGAAATTTGTTTTCCATGATGCAGATAATATTAATATATTTTATATGATATTTTCACTCAGAACTAGTTCATTTACTTTTATTTACATTATTAAGACCACTAAAGAAACACAAGCAGAAGGATCCCTCAATGTTGATGAAACATTAATTTATAACATACAAAGAAAAATATTAATTTAAAGATATGAATTTTAATAGAAAATTACAAAATAAATAATTTTAGTCGATTCTAAATTTACCCATACAGAACATTCACTATTTATTAGTGCAGAGCAAGGTAGCCAACAACTTGAAATTTAATTTTTCAATTTCAACATAGATATTATATTGAAATTTAGAGATTCACTTACACTCACTATTATAAGAGACCATTCTTTTTCCAGTTGTCTGCTGCAAAATTATAAAATAAACATTACTCAATATATCATTTAAAATACAATATTAAAATAAGTCTGCAAGATTGGATTTTTGTTTGAAATAAAGTAGGAATGCAATATTTTGAACATTGATGCAAGAATTAATGTCAGTGAAAAGTCAAACTGAGGGTCTGGTTATTCATTCATCACATTCTTAAGTTCTTAATGACAGTAAGAAAACCTCTTCAGAGAACAACAAACAAAAAGTATATACACAATAAGACCCCATTGTTTATTGACATTTTTCTCTAAATTAAAGATGCTATACTCTTCACAATTATGAGGATTAAGTGAACTAACTTGTAAATCCATGTTCTCCATTTGTTCTTTAATTTCTTAATTTACGTAGTAGTAAGAATTTATCTTGTCCAAAATTTACCCTTGAAAGCAAATCATACACCGGAAAAAGTGCTATTTTTTAGGGATTTATTAACGGCATAATTTTATGGTCATTCCCAGGAAAGTAGTCTGCTAACTAAGTTAAGTGTCAAAAGGAAGACATCAATACACATTTCAAATTTGTGGAAAGAAGACTGAAACATCACTTCAATCTAATATTGCTTTTCCAATAATGTCAATACAGTTTAACAGTTATATAACAATTCATGCACTTCTTTTCCGAAACAGCAAAGCCAAACTAAAGTTCCCAGGTCGAGACAGTAAGTTTTCCAAGGAAGATTAAATTCTGATTTTTTCCAAAATTCCCAAACCTTCTCTAATTCTTGACCCCTTTCACACAAATTAAGTGTTTCAACATAAAAGAAATGAATTTCAAAACAATCATATATTAAAATTGAGGCAAGTACAAACGTTAAATAATCAATACTGAACAAATTTATAAATATCAGAATTCTTTACTGAACTTTAACACAATTAACTCTCTCAAGAGTAAAATACAAACGGAAGAATTTCCTTTATGGTGGAATGAATATTCTTCCAACCTTCATTACTAAGCTTTAAAGAATTTTCTATGATTTACATGTAGTATATCTACCTGTTCCTCCAAATCAATTGTTACTGGCTAATTTCAAGGTACAGAATGTTTACATGTCATTCGGTGTAAAGAAAAACAGAAGCAACACTCAAATGGTTTCACACTTACTTGATGCACTACGGAAATAAGATGTATATCAAAAACTAGTGAAATAAGCAGTTAGTTTGTTGACCTATCTCTGAAATATAATAAAATTAAAAATATTACTTTTTGAACAACTCAGTCTTCAAAAATCATATTAACTGTTTCTCCAATAAAGGATACATAAACGACATTGCAATTGAAAGAGAAATAATATTTTGAGACACTTATTTTGAGAGGTTAGCATTCAATCGCTAAACTCTTTTAGTAAAAGCTCATCATTCACATGAACATCAAAGGCTTGCTTCTAGAGTACCTCTAGAAAATTCAATTTTTAAAAACTTTTTCAATCATATTCGTTTTGAAATATACGAGAAATAAAACTCATATTATCTCTTGCAGGAAGACAACAACTTCAAGAACTGACTTAACTCAACATATGAACTTGGAGAGGTGAAAGAAAATTATTTAACCAAATATAAGACAAGGTTTTTTCCTTAAATATATCATTCGAAAAATATGGGTTTGTTACACAGCCAGATTAAGCCTGGTTAGTTGGGATCTATGATTTTACCATACCATGACAAGAAATTTGTATGCTGACTTAACAATAAGCTGCAAAGGCAATAAGAATCCTTGTAAATCTCTAATTATATTCATGGATGTGTCTTGGCGTCTACCCTACATTTGTCGGATGATTCAGACCAAAAGTACTGATCCGGGTGTAAAGTGAGAATGGCAGTGCAGAGAGTGAAATGTAAAAATGAATAAAAGTTATTGCTGAGATGTGAGTGCAAATCTCCTTTTCCAAAGAGAACAGAATTTCATTCATCCATCCAACCAAGGAGATGAAATAACAAAAAAAAAAGAACTTTGCTGCTCTCTCCTGCACCACCCTACTCCTGCTCCCCTGCACTGTGGAACATAGGTCCAAAAATTAAAGAATTCCCAACCTATTGTCTATTTTTTACAGGTTTCATTGCTTTTAGGAAATGGAAAGTCATTGATACTGTTTCTGTTATGCATTTTGTTTAAAACATGATGCAGTTAATAACAAGTGTTAGTTACAATATTGTAGTTATTACAGCATCACTGGATGTAGGTAAAAAACGGTCTGGACTATTCACCCTCAGAATACATTTTGAAAACATTTGTTGAAAATTAAGTCTTGATATGATATAGTTTTGTACATTACTATAGTATAAAGATACATTGGCCTTTTGTAATAGGTTTTGTCATTAAATGAATATATTGATGTGAGAGACAATAATTTTTTTTTTTTAACCAGTATTTGATTTTTTAAATCAATTAATATTTATGTATGTATATGTACGTATGTGTGTGTGTTTATATATATATATATATATATATATATATATATATATATATATATATATATATATATATATATATATATATTAGTTAGTCTTATATAAATTTATTAATTTATCAAAACCAATAAAATAAGAAGTTAAATGATGGGCTCTGAAGCACCAACCTACTCAGTAAAGTATGAGACGTATTGTAATTTGATATTGCTACAGTTAAATGATGAGAATTTTAAGGTAATGGATGTTAAAGAAGCAAAGGCGCTGAACAAGAGTGAGAAATAAAATCGGGAGATAGAGAGAGAAATCATCTTAGTTGGCTTCAGATGAAAGACTCAGAATGCAAATACAATACACAAAATTTACAGGGGGAGGAATAGAAAAAAACATGATGTGTGTGAAGATAACGATGATTGACAAAAATAATGATGATGATATCTTCAGGGAACAAGCATAGACATGCAAGGCAGACAAGGCGGGGGATGCCTTGCTCTTTCTGCCTGAAAATTTTGAAAGAAGTCCCCTCACATAGAAGTAGCCTCACATAATAAAACATTTTATTTCCATAAATGTATTAGATCCCTGATAACAATGACATATGGAATGTATGGAGGTATCATCAAATTTAGCAATTACAAGTAGATGAACACATTAGCCTATTCTTATATTGTTACCATATCTATGTTTTAAGTAATAATTATTGCCTTATTGAATAGGGATAAAAAAAATACAAAAATTTTGACATTGTACTTGTTGGAATTGTAAAAAATAACACTTGTTGTGCTGTAGATGGCTTTTCCTGTTCTGCGCTATGCACAGTGGGAACAAGAAACTAGTGATAGCTCACGCAAAATGTTTTGTATTCTTTCTATTAGCAAGACAATTTTCTAGAACAGAGAAACTGTATTTTTATTTTGACTGAATAGTAAGAATTGGTTAAAAATGAAAAAAATTCTCAGGCGCACACATCAAAATCTTTATTCAAAGTCGCCTTATATTCAGATAAGTATGCTATTATCCCAGTGTCTTTCAAAGTGTAAAAAAGGGTTCGTACTTGTGAATTGAATAGGTTTTATAACATTGGTCTTAATTAACAATTTAAACTTTCAACTTAAGGACATATATGTGCAAATGAAAATTACTTTTAAGTAAAACATGTTCTGTAGAGGAAAATTAGTTATGAATATTTCATCAGAATGATTTTGGACATTTGATACCATATTGTTGGGATCAATTCTTATTTTGAACAGCTAATACTCAATTTAAAAAGTTCAAATATTATGAAAATCCTGGTAACCATCTTGAAATCCAGGTCAATTCACCAGTGTGTAGAAATGTTTGGAAAATATCTAGTAAAAGAACAGAGGTCTTGCTTTAGATCTTATAAGCACAAGTTGCCATAATGCTAGGCAGGATAATGTAGATAATTCAAAGGAAAACAAATAATTTTTTTGTTTTCCTATTGAAAATGTAGTCAAATTGCAAAATATGAAATTCAGGGCTAATTTTAGTAAATGTCACTGCACAAAGTAATGATTATAATGTTGCAATCTCTCTTACCCCTACTTGTCTTGAAATGCACAGTCAATTGGTTAAGATAGCCCTCCTCCAAGGATCAACAGAGCGTAACTGTCAAATCTTTAAGTAAAATTTGCTCAAGTTAAACATAAATAAAGATGTCTCACATAGATAGACACATCTATTTCTTTCACTTTTTGCAAATACTTTTTAACTTTATAATCTGAATATGCTACTATACGTAAAAAGTTAGAGTATGAGATTACTCTAATTCATCACATAATTACACTATAAAAAAACATGATATTTCAGTTGACAGTCTATTTTCAAATATAAAACATACTATATTTACTTTTGTCTGTCATTCAATTTTTATTTTCACATTTATTATTGTCTTCACTTTTTTGACACACAGGTTTAAATATACACAGATATACTATTTCTGAGAACATGTGACTAAATATACATTGTTTCCCAATTTTAAAGGTTTAAAAGTGTTCATGTGTTAATTATATACTTAAATATGCCTGTGAAAACACTGAGGGTCAATAATAAATGTGAAAATAAAACATAATATCATTTTGCTTGCACAAGTAAAAGCTTTAAATAGAGATTTCACTACATTTCCACAAATAATGAAAAACTCCCTTGACATTCCTAAATCATTCCTCATTAATCCTAATATAAAGTCTAGTGATATAAATTTTTATACAATCTAAGATAATGAAGTATTAAAATAATTAAAAATATTCTTAAAACATTTCCTGCAATGCAGAATCATTCAGGTACATTGTGATCACAAGCAGATTCTGCAGGTTTTGTTTATATTTCTTTTGTCTTCAGTCATAGGAATGATAGAGAAAAATTTGGCATCTAACTTCTAAACTTTTTGTCTATAAGCAATTACATATCAATACACTAGTGTGTACTTTGCATTATTAACAGAACACAATGTCACTGTATTCCTTCCTGAATCCTAATTACAAAGCAAGAGCCATGACAAGATATTTTGATTCTTAACCCTTCAACATGGAGCCTAGGTTGGGGTGATATCACTTCAATGGTGTACATGCTTCAGCACATAGCAGGTAGCCAGCTTAGTACACCACTATGATAACATCTTGTCTCCACACCATATACCACTGTAGAGACATCTAGGTATGGCTCTCCACAAATAGAGGTGGAACAAATGTGCCATCTGAAGATGGCATTCCGTGTTGAAAGGTTAAAAACTAATAAAAAAAAAAAGGACATACAATGTCATTTATAATTTAAAAGTATATTATGAACAAATAAACTCAATTTAAAAAAGAAATGATGTGAGGGTTCCCTTTTCAAATTAAGTTTACCCACCAAATACACTAAGTTTGAAATAATCACATTCAAACTATCTGGATGGTTTTATTAGTAAGGTTTGTCAATTTTAATAATCACTTGGAAATAAATTAGCAAGCATATTTTTCAAATATTCATTACTCTCACCCATGGAATAATCTCAGTACAGTGTGTCTGGAAAGTCAATCTGCACTGAGCCGGATCAGAGCCTCCTACTAAAAATTGTATTTATTTTGGCAGCAAGTAGCAACCAGTTCACTGGGAAACAAGTGAAGCTAGCATCTTATGACTGCGGCGAGTATGTTACTTGTACAGTTTCTTTGTTAAAGGGTGCAGCTCGTGCTGCCAACATAATTTCTGTTGCTAGCATTCTCACAAGCAAGGTGCCACTAAGAGAGACTTTCCTGACACACTGTACTATTCTTTTTGCAGAGTAATGAGTGGGTTTATTTATGAATTTGCAAAGCACCCACCACCCTTGACAAATATTTGTTCAAGGTTTTTTTGTTGCTGTTTATTCAACAAAATTATAGCAATTGTTAAGTATTGGCAAATTTCAACTTTCCATTTGTCTTTCATTTAAATGAACCATCAGTTCAAGAGTATAAAAAAACTTGGCAAAATGTTGACATAAAAGTTACCATTAATATACGGTTTCAAGTGTGTTTATAAAAAATATAAAATCCAAATGCCACTCTTAAAAAACACACCACACAGACCACAAGCTTTTTTTAAAACATATATGTCATAGACAGTAAGTTTTGAAATTAGATGCTTTAAAATACTCAAAAATGAAAAAATAGAAATACTACTACCCTTGAAAATTTGATGGGTAATTAGTTGTCTTGTGAAATTCCCTGGATGGTATACTGTCGGATGGCTGAGTATACACATCAAATACTCCTCCACCTGTACGCTTTTGAGGCTGGCAACCAACAATCCTTCTCGGTTGTACAGCTTCGTTGTGGTGTTCCGGACCAACGTGCCATTTCTTTGCTAATGCCTGTAGTTGCACTTGAATTTCAGGAGAAACATTAACATATGATAAAGGGACTGGACGAATATTCCAATGAGAAGTACTCACAAGTGGTGTTACAGGTACAGGATTAGTTGGTGGTAAACTCTTGTTCCTCCACATTGTCCTCCTGGCTTTGTCTTGTCTTAGAGGAATCCTCTGTACATTGGGATCATCTCGAGGCATGTTCACCTCTTGCAAACCTAATTCATGATTGGGGCTTCCTTTGGAACTGTTTCTTCCTCTATCATTTCTTAAAGTATTTCGACTAACAGGCTCATCCAACAATCCACTGCCTTCTGGCCAGTTACCAACATCATAGTTTGAGTTTCCTTTGGTATTACCTTTTCTCATATTATTGTGCTTTGAAGACTTTGGAGATTGAGCATATCTGTCCATCTGATATTCTTTTGACTCTGAGGACTCATCTCTCCTTTGCATTCGAGCGGGACAATCTTTAACAACATGACCAATTCTCTTACAATTATGGCAACCTCTATCAGGAGGTGATCCTTTGACTTTGGATGCTTCAAAATACTTATCCTAAAAAAATTAAAAGGTATAAATACAAACTGAATCATACCAAAAATATACTATATCACAAATTAATTTAAGACTAATTTGTAGGTAACTTACAGCTGCTTTTATCAATGGTTTAATATCTGGCAAGTTTTCTAAATTGCTAACATTGCTAAAGTAAGAACGGCCATTTCTTAATGCTTTCAAAATAAACTGATGCACTAAAACAAATCAAGAAAGAAAATGTAAGTATTTAAAAGAAAAAAGTATTAATAACACATAATGTAATCATGATTAAAAGTGTGCAAAATTTGAAATTATTTCTTAAATGTAATAGTAACTATTAGGGGTGAAGGGACTAGAAATGAAATGTTTTACTTTCTCCCATTAATAAAAAAAAACACAGAATCTGAAACACTCATCTGAAATATTGATAAAAAGATGTACCCATATTTTAGGTGAAATCGGAGAAAAAGACCATGAACACTTGGCCCTGCTTTATAACAAAACTTATTAGTGAGTAAGTGATTGTTGTAGTTTTTGAATGCCTGCCAAAATAATTTCTGGCTCTTCATTCAAGAGCTTCTTGATGGAGTGGCCTTTATGGATCTTATTGGCAACTTTCTCCCATACAAGGATGGGGATTTGGTTGCGTGATGGGATTTGGGTTTGCACAGGTTGTTTTGTTTAGGGAAAAAGACTGGTTCTTTTATTACAGTGTTGGTGGAGCCAGGAGGATGTGTTGTTCTAGGCAGTGGATTGGTGGTTGTATTTTCAAGGATGGGGTGGATGTAAGTATGATGGTGTGTTTGTTCTTGATGGGAAGGGAATGGTATGTAAGGATGGGTTGTAAAAAGTTAATGATGCAATGGGATTTTAGTATGGCTTGTATTAAATGGTAGGTCCAGAGAAATCTGAAATAAAAATGAGTACCGAGGTAATTTAACTTTGGGAGTCCAGCAGATGGAATGTTCAGAGAATTGGAGGGATGAAACAGAAGAGGGGATATTATGAAATGAAAAGAAAATGGCTTCGCATTTTTTCAGGTTGATTGTAATGGGGTTTTTATAGGCCCAGAGGAGGAGGAAGTTGAGGCATTTTTGAAGTTGGATGAGGGGCAGGGCAAGGATCAGAAGGATGAGAGGAAAGCAAAGACATTGGCAAGTAGGAACACCTTGACACCAAATGTAGAATGGTAATAGTTCACATACAAGGAAAAGAGAATGGGAGAGAGAGCATGGTGCCGTATGCGATGCCTTGATATGAGGATACTTGAGGGAAGATTTTGACAGGTGCCGGACATAGAAAAATCTTTGATGGAGGTAGTTTTGCAGGATAGTGTACAGATGGGTTAGAATATGTTGTTGCAGTTTCATTAAGAGTATGTTGTGGGCAACAGTGTCATAGGCATGGGAAACACTAAAATGAAACTAATAAGGTCATATATGATCAAATGTGCCTTGCAAATTTGCAAGCAGTAAAAGATGATTTCAATTGTTTTTGCATGCAAGAGATAATATTGTACACAAGAACAACACTGTAAAATCTTTCATCTTAAAAGAGAAGAGGATATTTGTAAAGGGTCATTAGGATTGAAATTCCATTTATACATCTGGTTTAATAATAATCACAATAAATAAACCTAAGAAACGTGAAGTAAACCATGTCTGACCACCTCCTGCAAAATCTGTTTAGCATTTTGCACCTACACAGAGAATGTGTAAAGAACTAAAAAATCATTGAGTCATTGTCAAGAAATGGTATTGGTAAATACCTGTAAAATGATAAAAATAAATATTCAGGTTGCAATTTATGTTTACCTCACAGCTGCAGTACTATTAGTAGTAGTGAAGAATGCATCTGATTGTCAATTCGATTCTGAAAGCAACTAGTCTAAAGTGTAAAATAACCATACATTTTTTTGTTGTGGTTGTTTTTTTATTATGTAACAAGCAGGACCTTAAATGTTGAAGATGTTAATGATATTATTTTAACAGTTAGGACTTCTCAAGCTTGATAGTATTAGTATATAAAAATATTCATAACTTATTTAATTTTTATGGAAAAGAGGGCATTATTGATAAATGAAGGGTAGAAGGACAATGTATCGCAATGGAAAACGGTCCTCCCAAATAGAGGAACCAAATTTTAAAATTGAGTGGGATGGAATGTATTTCATGGAACAAATTAATAGATGAAAACAAAAACAGTATAAGTGACATTTTATAAATATTGCGAAATCTGTTTTCTTTAAGTCAATATCACTGTAAAGTTGTGGTGCTTTTCATCATTAAAACCACGAAAATACATTGCCACTGATATGAAGCCTAAAATAAACCCTTTTCTCAGAATTTATAAAATGTCACTTATACTGTTCTGGTTTTAACCCATTCAAATGTCATTTGTTCACGGAGTTAATATCCTCTTAGAGTACCTTGTTTCACAAAAAATAATGTGTGGAGCTACTGAAAGTTCTGCCAATCGCAAGGACACTAAGTGTGTTTTAAAAACTTACTAAAAAAATATGATATGTACATATTAAGTTTTAGAAATAATTTTCATTGGTATCTTTGATAGTGACTAAAATCAAATCATAATAAAGTTGTAATGAAATATCTTTAAATAACTAAATTAAATGGATTTAGCTTAAATTATAATACTTAATATTTAAAATTCAACTAAAATACATACTTTTAGGGCTGAGACCTATACCAAGGTTATGGTTGACGTCAAATGGATCTTCTATTGCCATAGACTTCGAATTCCATAGCTTTTCAAATTTTGACATTGGTCGTTTTCTTCTAATGCTGATGACATATTCTTTGTAGTTGTAAATTTCTGTGTAATAGCACAAAAACTCAATCCACAATTCTCCTACTGATTTCCCATTTTTTCCATACTCTGGCCAAAAGTATGACTGAAACAATGAAAAAAATTGACAGATATAAACATAATTTAACCCTTTATCAGTCTCAAAGATAATAGTTAGGTAGTTCCATAGTTTGTAATACTTGATACTCCCCACTTATACCACTCTATTAAGTTTTAATCCCGTCTCAAAAGATGGAGCTATACCTCGATTTATTTACAATGGCACTTGATATTTAATCAGTCGCAAAAGTTTCAACGTCACTGCAGTGATTGGAGGACACCATAACAGCTGACGTCTGTCAAGTGCCACTACAAATAAATTTGCTTATTTAGTGCTAGGTGAAACTCTTACTGGGTTGTGAATATTCATGTGAAATGAAGAACATTTCTTACAGTCCCTCATTACACATGTGGAGAAAATATAAAGCAAAAATTTGGAGCGGTTGTCGAGGAAATTGTTTGTTGTTGTACATTTCAAGTGCATATTACGCAAAAACTACAAACTTTTACAAAAAATTGTACATGGCCTTTTTTAAAGAACTAATTTTTTGCCACAGTCTTTGTTTTATCTAAAGATTTGTATCTTCAATTTTGTAGTTTTAATTATTTAATAAAAGAAAATAGGCTAAAATCGTAGGTGTCGAATATTTTTTAGTGAGTTTATGAAAGCTAAGAGCTACCAAAAAATTGCTCAAATGATGAAGTAGAGTACAAGTGACACTGAGAGTTCAATAAGAATAAAGAATCGAACAACACCCTCGAGAGCGCCACCGAAATAAGTTTGCTAATAGAGAAGGGAACTGGATTCTAAGGGAATATCCTGGATTAAAGGAATATCCTGGATGTCTGAATTGTTTTGGGAGTGACTGTACTGGCCTCAGAGGAAATGCTGTTCACAATTTTAATAATAACGTAAACTTAAGCTTTCTTTACTAGCGTGCGGATGTAAATACAGTGAAACCCCTGTTCACAATCACCCCTCAGCGCAACCACCCCTCTTCCCAACCACCAATGTTTTTACCGTAAGACCAACGCCTTGAAATCCCCTTTATCCAGACCACCCCTGTTCATGCCCAATGACCTATTCCTGTACAAACTCACACTTATTTCCCTTTAAGGCGACCACCTTTATCCAAGTTCCTTGAAATGTTTTTCAACCACTTATGTAGTTTTCTGCTAGCTGGAACTTGCAATCTTGGTGGCAACCAGCAATGATTCACGCAGTTTCTCACTCGGTAGGGGATACCACTGCTGTCATTGTCTTTTCGGGTGTGCCATTCTTGGAATGGAATTGGAGGCAGTTTTGACAGTTTCTCCTTCAGTTTGTAATACAATCTACTGCTGAATGTGCTTTTACTGTGAAGTGTTGCCATTGATAGTGTAGGAGTACAATAGGGATGTCGGTTTTCGCAAATAATTTTAATTTCATCCTGGCATATGACAAATAACAATCGCAAAAAGAAACTTGCAATCCTTTTTCTAGTGATTCGGTCATCAGTGATAGGAAAAGTGAAAATGGAAAGTCGCAGCGAGAGTCACTAAGCTGTTTATTCTGATAAATTAAGCCAATATAGGCAATTCTTGCCAATCAGGAATAGTACTTGAAAAATTAGGAAGAAAATGTTAATACAGACTAAGAAAAGTTCGAGGCCTTACAAAAACATAAATAGCATTCTTTTAGAATGGTTCAAAGGGCCTCCCTATATAAAAGTGGACACACAAAAGACCTCCAAAACATAAAACACACACACACACACACACACACACAAAACATCTAAGTTCACTTCACTTCATTCACTTCAATGCCCTGATGTTTATAGAAACATCCATGTTTTGAAAACATCGGCTTCAATGTTGCATACCTAGAATGGACCAAGGCAAGAAAGTAAAAGGAAGAGAAGAAGAAAATTTAATATGAGAAATGGGAGTAGTAGATGAAAAAAATTAAGAAAACAAAGAAGGAAAAGAAGGCAAGTTTAACTCATGTCCAAACCAGTACTTTAAGTTTAAAACTTTCAATATAACTAAACTCACCAATCTGTCAATATCTTCAAAAAAGTAGGTGTCGCAGTTTTCAAGAATATACTCTTCAGTGGAACATGGCCTGCAAATCTAAAAAAAAAAGATTTTTATATTTATTTATATACACACACACACACACAATATGCAAATGAAAACAAACGCCTACATAAAACTGTAACAGTCACTGATACAGAGTATTTTAATTGGATTATAGTCTGCTTAGAACAAGGTTGTTCCAACTTCACTTTTTTATAAAATCTGAGTTGTGTATCATTGTTGTTCCAACTCCTTTCCTGCTTCAGTTTTATATTGAAGATGCAAAATATACAATCATAATGCGTTAAAAATTACTGTTACATTTTGTTCTTACTCCATTTCATAGCTAATGGTGTGAATAAGCCAGCCAATGCGAGGAAAGTTACAGGAGCAAACTACTTTAGAACTTCACCGATGAGAAACTGTGGGGATTAAGCGGATTGAACAATACCACGTTTGTTCTAAGACAAAGTAGTAGAGTAGCCTACTTTTTTTTTTTTGCGTCAACTTAACACCATTTTATCTGATTGAAAAAATACGCAGAACAAATTTAAAAATTCATACTAACAGAAAAATAGATATTTTCTCAGCACGAAATTCAAACGCAACAAAAATATTTTTGAAAACAATTTTTACTGGAGCAGGCTTGAAAAAATCTGAAATGTTCTCATTAAACAAAAATCATTTTTATCATTTTCCCACCTTTAAATGCAACAGTTCTGTGCATTTATTTTAGAGTTCAACATACATTTGTTTACATTGTTGTAGCCCCTAGTATTATTTTGACTTTGGAATGTAGCTACTAATTATCATGTTTTTAAAGCATTCTAATCCTTTGTAAATCATACGCTAAGGAAAGACAGTTTATAAGAGACCATTGACAAAAAACCTTGTGGGATACTGGTGGATAAAGTAATATATCCCAGTTCTACATCAAGTAGAACAATATATAAAGTCATTTGCGACATTGTATATTATTAATTTCCATATTGACTTTTTTCTGTTTAAAAGATCTAATCTAAGAGACTTTCATTTGCCTTTAATTCCCTGATGATTGTTTTATAATTCTGATTCGTTTTTTTTAGTGTTTTAAAAATGGTAATCCTATTACCTTTTTCCATAGTTATAAGGACCAATGTGTTTTGTTTTTTTTCCAAAACCTTACTTTCATCAATGGAAACCTAATTAGCCTTTGATTTTGCATACAACGGTTTTTGGAGGTGGGATAAGAAGGTGAGTTAACTGATTATCTTCGTACAGCCCTGTTTTTTGGAATAAAAATGAGGAAATAATATTTTCCTAGAGCCTCAAATTTTGGGCATGATTTAATATTTTTTTGAGGTTTTTGAATTTTTGTTCATATGCTCATAGGAATGTGTGTTAATTGATTTTCTTTGTACAGCCCTAATTTTTGAAAGAAAAGTGCGAGAATATTATTTTTCCTAAGAGCCTCAGCCTAAAAATTTTGCATAGTGTTTCATGTTTTTTTCTTTCTTTTTTTTCTTCTCTTTCTTTTTTGTTCTTAAGGATGAAGAAACAATGTTAATTGTTTCTCTTTCACAGCTTTGATTTGTGGAATAAAATAGCGGGAATAATGTTTACCTAGAACCTCAAATTGGCCTTAAATTTTGGGTAGGGTTTCATATTTTTTCTGAGGTTATTTAGTACTTTGACAATGAGTCCTGCTATCTTTTTCTATAGATAACAGGAACAATGTTTTTTTAAAAAAATTGGAAAGCCTTAAATTTGCGAAAAGGGCACTTAATTAACCTTCACTTAGGATATAGTGATTTTTGTTTCTGCTAAAAGGGTCCTGTTAACTTAAGCGACGTACTGGAGAGTGTGCGGTATCTGTGGCAGCTGCAGTAACGAGCATCTGCCCAATTAGACCTTTAAAACTGGTATGTAATGCTTTTGGAATGTTGTGAACTCTTATATGCTCAAATGCTTTGGAACATAAAACCAGTACTGATAATTAAAATTCCATAATAAATACTAAAAACCATATTTTATTATGTTAGTAGTTAAATGTCCATGTACTTTATACCTTGTCCTTTCATGTGCAATCACAATTTTTACCCCAGCTCATATTCTCACAAAAATGTAGTTTCCATGACTTATGCCCCAACCTTCGTAGTCTAAATCTCAAGATATACAGTCCTTACATAAATATTGTTCCGGTATGGGCAAAATATTTTGGTATTTGGTGCTAAAAAATTAGGTTCTTAGACATAAATTCTTTATAAGGCAGATCTTAAAAGGAGTTATAACATTACATTGTAAAAATTTATAAGTATCATCGTTTTAACTCCAATTATTTTCTTTGATTTTTGTCTAATCCAGAAATAAATTATGTATGTAAATATTTTCAAGGTCTATTTCTTTCATTGAAACCCTACGTATTTTAACAGCAACAGTATGTATTATGATTTGTTTAATCCTTAAACTTCACGGAGCCCTCTTGAAAATATTACAAAAATGGAGCAAGAACAATATGGTTCTAAACAAGGGAACCCCCTGATGATTAATTAAATATAATTCACAAAAATTCTTTTATAAAAACAAATATTTGCACCTTGAAACGCTGGCTATCAATTCTCTATGTATACTTAATATAATTAATCTCAGGGCCGTTCCATTTATGTTGGCCAACAAAAGAAACAACCCTGATTCAAATTGGCCAGAAAATTATTATATAGGAAAGAATCAATGGATTTTACAACTACCAATAGAAATGTGCCATTCAAACCTAAATTGTACAGCAACAATGGGGTCAAGCTATGTATTTATGTATAATAACTAATGCAGAACAACCTCTGTTCATGACATTACATATTTACACAAATAGATTATACACAATAAATAATGCAATTCCTTAAAAACTACTATTTTCAACAAAAGCACATTTACAACAAGGTAACAACAACATACATTCATACTCTGTTAATTATTCTCTTATTGGTGAAAATGAATGGCCATCATTATTTACTTTACTTTCTCGGTTAGCCAAAAATTAATGCTTCCTATTTTTTCTACTTGTATAAAATTAATTAAACTGAAACATTTTAGTTTGGCACTATTGCTCAACCCTTTTTCTACAGTCCATGGCAGTAAGAACTTAGTCCGTCGACATGTGGCAGCACAGCAGTAGTTTGCAAAATGGCCGACATCAATGTTCGTAAGATTTTGCGTTGTGTGATTTAATTCTTGAAGGCAATGTGACAGATGAATTGAGTCGCATTCTCTCCCTCACTTCCGCATTTACCAAGCGGTCCCCACGAATGACGTCATGAACTTGCTAAATGTTTATGACTGCAGTCACCGACCTGCCGCTACGCTTTTCGTCAGAAAGCGGTGTTTGCCTTTCAACTTCGTTTCAGCGACGAACCCATTATCTAACAGCTATCACTGCTGCAACACCGTACACATCTTTCAATCTTTCCTGAATGAATGCGAAATTTCATCTTCTGCATTCAATAATTCAATCACACAACGCAGTCTCTTTCAAACATTGATGTCAGCCATTTTGCAAACTACTACTGAGCTGGCACATGTTGACGCAGAAAGTTCCTACTGCCATCGACTGTAGAAGATGTCGGCCATTTTGCAAACTACTGCTGTGCTCGCACATGTTGACGCAGAAAGTTCCTATTGACATGGACTGTAGAAGAAGGGTTGAGGAATAGTGCCAAATTGAAATATTTCAGTTAACTAATAAACTTAATTTCAGTTAACTAGAAAAAACAGGTGGCATTACTTTCTGATCTACGAGCGATCTACGTAGCAATCTAGGTCTTCTACATTAAGTTGGTAACTTTCCTTTCGTCGAAATACTGCATTCTTGGACGATGAAAGTCCTCGTCCAATGGTACCAATTACCCTGCTTTCTCCAGCTGCTTGACGTTTCCAGCGACGACTCGCCCACATTCTATTTTTCCGAAAATTTCTCGAATTTAATCATTTCTGCTAAAGTCTTTTCTGCTGTACAACTGTTTCTAAACAATTGGAGACCATACCGAGCATCCAAAAGGTAAGTAATATTAATTTTAACAATGACAAGTAATGTAAATTTCATCAATTTACCATTTAAATTGAATAATTCTAAAGAACCTGTAACACGTATTGTACTTCAGCTTCTGGGTCAATGACCCACATCTCAATCAGGTTTTCGTCCAGTTTCCCTGATCCTCGAGCAAATGCTGAGATGGCCCATTGTTTTGCTTCTGGACATGAATGTAACTTCAAATTAACTTCTCCCCATAGCACGTCACACAGTTTTTTACGCAAATAAATAAATAAAATTAAAATATACTTCCAAATTCCTATAATACGTTTTGGTTTCTATCAGGTTAAACGTTCAACATTGTAATCAACCTCTTTTAAAATGACATTTAAAATTCTAAATTTAAAAAAAAAAAAGTTAAATGGAACCTCAGTATGACGCTTCTGCGCTCCGTCTCAAAACTTCTTCTTTTTCCGACAATACAACTCAGTGTCATTCCACCATTTCCGAAAGACTCAAATTGCGCAAGAACTCGTCTCACCATCGTGATATTTACGCCACTTTTAAATTGGTTATAAAATTCTGCACCATCACTCGCTAGTTCTTTTTCTACGTTAACTGATTCATTGATCTTTCATTACTCTAATAAATTACTTCTCTATTCCCGCCACAATCTAAATACCATGGGAATGTAAATAAATGATCTACTTATTTATTATTTCCTGTGGCCCCCGCTGTTTCCTTTCATACATGTCTTTCTATATGCCCGTGTTTTATGGCAATGTCCCTTATATAGTAGTTCTGTTGTTTTTACTCCTTACGCACATTTTTTTTCATATCTCAATATATTTTTCCAATATTCAAACTTAATGGTAAGTAAGAATGAATTTGGTCATGCCCAAATGAAACCACGAATCTTGAATGAAATCTTTTGAATTTTACTTTTATACATGTGAAAAATGGACGTTCTGTAATCTAATGTCACACAATAGATTCACATTACGAATGATTTCACAAATAAAAAAAGTCGAAGTACCAATCGTCATTTTAATGAATTAAAACAGTACTAAAGAAAATACTAAAAAACTAAAAAAAGTACAATGTATATTTATCAAAGAGATCTTGCCAGGTGTTTATCAAGATGAGTCATGTAACTTTAGTACCTCCTGTAATTTTAGAACGGTCGAAGTTATTGCAATGCACTTTTCACGGGGCATGAGGGAAAGGGGCTAAGTGATACGTATATTTATTTCTATTTTATCGCTTGTGTTTTACGAGATATTTGAGGTAACTTTATTTTTTCAAATGGAACTATACATATTTTTCGGTCTATCATGACGAATTCAATGATTAACATATTGTCATATGTAAGAAAAGCATTTTTTGAATAATTTTGATTTTTGAGACTAGTGTTTAATGGATATTTTGAATGTAGTAACAGTCCGCCTCACAAGGTCACGCAGGGCTCCCCCTGCTAGCGCGCACCCGGGGAAGGGAAGGGATCTTAGTATTTGAAGATATGAAACATATTCCAAATATTCACAAAACTGTTGCAGTGTTTCCTGAACTCTGCTTTCCATCCTTCTGCATTTTCATATTTTTTCTATTACTTAAGGTTTGAAAATATGGATTTGTCATAAGTAGGGGGCGGATTTCAATGAAATATTGTTTCTTTTTCTTTTCCCTTTACAACAGAGGTCCTCAAACTACGGCCCGCCGGCAACGAGGCCCGCAGAGGACATTTAAACTGCCCGCCAGGTGTTTATGGCGACGCTGCCCGTCTGTCATTTTTTTACAAGAGAAGGAAGGGCAAAGTTATTGCTGTCGTATAGTTCTCGTAGCGCTGTATTACACGTTCACTATACATATGCAGACGAAGCGCTGCAATGTTTACATGAGGTCACCGCTGACTGAATGAGATTCGCACGTCTACAGTAGATACTGATCGATTAGATATGATATGATATGATATGATATAGAGGGTAGTGAGCGGGATATAGGCCCGCTCATTGCAGGGAGCGGCAGAGCAGAAGCGGGCAAGAACATATCTATTGCGGAAGAATTTATCATCGGTCCTCACTTCTTACTCGAGTGTTAGAGAGGCGTTCAGTATCAGAATTTTTAAACTTAGGCACTCCCTACGCTTTGGGAGGACATCGTGTTGAATGTGTGGGCACAGATGTACCACCATGACGGTACAGCCCCACATAATTATCATGGAGTTCGGGAATACGTAGATATGTAATTTCCAGTTAGGTGGATCGGACGAGGAGGTTTACTAGCATCTCCGCCTCGGTCTCCGGATTTGAATCCGTTGAACTTCTTTTCTCGGGGGTTAATGAAAGACAGCGTTTATGCTGCCGAAGTCTGGGATCGTGCTGGCATTCTTTCGCTCACTGAAAGCGTGGCGGCAGAAATAAGGGGAAGAGTTGTGCGCGTCATTGAGGTCGTGTGGCACAGATGACCTCTTGCATAAGAGGTCATTTTGAAAACTTTTAGAGCCCGTTACACGACGTGGAACTGCACAATTTTGACTGTATACGCAAATAATAATAAAGTATTCTAAATAACACTTAATGAATAGTTTTTCTCCTTTCTTAATGATTTGATAAGTAGGTAATAATAGCAACAGGCATATTTAATGTAATATTTGGGCTACCTTTATGCAAAAAAATGAATTACAAATGAAAGAAAACTTATTTTTTTTCAAAATTTTGAATAGGGTTCACATTATTTTTTTTTTTTTACACAAATGAAGAACTTAGTACACTCAATCACAGAGTCCTATATGAGTATCGAGGACTGAATCATCCTGTATACAGGTGTCCAGACTTACCCGCGCCAAAGGACAGCATTGTCTGCACCTTCTGGTGCCGAACAAGAATATATAACCTGTTTGTGAGAAAGCTTAATCATAACGCAAAAAAACCAATTTTCTTTCAAAAAATCGTGTACACGTTCATTATCCAGCACTGTAACGTGGTCGGGCGCAAGAAGAACATTTTGCATTCGGCGGTGTGATTCTCGCAAATTGCAGTGTGCTTTGTCGTCATTGTACGCGGCTTCCGCTCTTGTCGCTGAGGTCACTTCAGTATTTGCCAATCTATACGGCGGTCATGTCCGGCCGGACTCCGTTTTCGCGACCTTGCAATAGTCTGATGTTTATGGCTACAGCGACGAGTGCGAGGGGCCGTGACGGCAACAAAAGAGAAGACAAACATTTCCTTGCCGCGAAGCTGGCTACGATTGTGCTTCTAATTTCAGAACACTTTAAACTTTCCAAGCGCAGTAAGTCGTAATTGGCAGCGGAAGTCCGCCTCGCGCAAAATTTATTTACGCGAGTTCGCACGGAAGACGTTTACATGAATAATTACAAAAAATGTATAACTCCTAATCTAATGCGTGGAATTTTAAAATATTTGGTGATGTCGTTCTTCGCACAACGCGTCGTTTCTATTTGGTGCAGTTATGTCTGGACACCTGTAAATATGGTTTTCTTAGACAATATAATTACGGAATTGAAATTGGATATAACAACTAGATCAGAAAATGATAGACGGATTAATAATTATTTTCACTGTGAAAAATGAAATTACCTCTTGAAGCACAGGTAATACAGGTGGATTACACTGCTGAAGAAAATGTATCATCATCAAAATATAAGCATATGATGATAAGCTGCCTTTAGACGCATCACATATATTGCAAATTTTTGCAAAACGTTTCAGGACATAACCCAGAATCTAGAAGGAAAAAAATTAGAATGTTAAGAAGTTCAATAATTGACACACAACCTATACTGATACAATTTATACTATCAACATTTTATAACATGCGGTAACCGAAACAACTGAGTATAATTCACACACAGCATGACTTGAAAGCATGAGCAGAACAACCATAGATGATGTGACTTATAATTAACAACCAATAGCCCTGATGATGGCGAAATAAATCAGCTCTAAAATGTGCATTTGAATAATCTAAAAATTATTTTATTGCCCAAAACAATAGAATATTCCATCAATTATAATTTCGAGGGCAATAAAATAAAATAGTGTTAAACTTCCGAAGTCTCTTTATCACACACACATTCATATTCCTTTGCGATTAATTTTTTTGAGTACTACAACCAGCAATAAAGCACCCTTTACAAATATGAGAGACTTTGTTAAAATAATCAGTGTAGTTCCATGAGCATATACATTTGAGAAGTGTAGTTCAGAAATGTCACAAGAATAATAGGTATTCAACATCATTCAATTATCTAAAGATCTCACTCATTCACCATAGTTTTAAAATTTAAATGCATACAATTCAAGATGACATGATTGATGAGACACAATTAAAATGGTATTACTTTTGTTCAGTATAACATCATGCTGTGCTGGCAACAAGGAACTACAGCCCACTGTAGCAAGAACAAATACAATACATCAGACCATAAATGGACATACCGACAGTTCATTACATGACTACCACCACAAGGCAATCTATAAAGCATTCTGAATACACGTTATAATGTTTACATGATGTTTGGCTTAGGCAAACTCTCCAATTACAAGTTCTAATTTTTGCATGGCGTACGTAGGTTGTTCTGAATGTGTACATAGGTTCAAATGGTCTGTTTATCGTGTGGCTCGCCACGTAAAATACTTCATAACTCAATTGAAGTTTTTATCTTCAATTTCAATGTAATGTGTTAATTTTATCTTATTGTACATTTACAATCTAATTTTAAAAAATGAATAATCATTTTGAACCATTTTTCTCTCTCTTCGTTAAAATATAATTTTTATTCTTCAGAAATCCTCCATATTTTATGTTTGTGCAACTACACTTGTCTCATCATATGTATTATATTTTCCTTGTTTTATTATTTTTGCTTACAATTATGGAATAAAATGCATCATATTGGGAATGCCAACACATCAATAACCCAATATTACGAATTGTAAAATGAATTAATGATGTGATAAAAATGTTTTACTAACGAAATAATCTTATCTTTAAGAAATTTATAAATATTTGTGTGAATATATCACTAAACTGAGAGACTTATATTATGAACATAGGTGGGCGCTACATAAAACAAGGAGGGCTGACTTCATTTCTAAACAAGACCTTCTGCAATATACTAGTCCTTCATGCAAAATCAACACGCCTTATGTGTTGGAAATGCTTTGTACTAATCTAAGGGAGTCACGGACAAAGTTGAAAAGCATTGCTACTGCATATGTTAGCATATACTCATGACAATGTCAATCTCATGCTATGCTTACATTAACAGAGTGTAGCTACTAGGTTAATAACTAAAACTACTGTAGTCACAGTAACAGTACAGATTATAAACTGAAGACTGGCAATGACAGCGCCGATTGCCTCTTTAGGAATTAATCAGCGGCAAATTAAATCGGTGCAATTTCTCTTTAACGTTTCTTAAAAGGGGGGAATACAAGTCCTCAGAGCGTTCCCGAAGCATGGTATATCAAAAAACGGTCCAGAAGCTGTGATTGAATCTGCCGCCAATGTCCTTCGCGAATGCCAGCCGGACCACACTCGAGAATTGCGAACAAGAAAAGACGACGGGCTGTCGCGGCGTTAGCGGGGCAAGAGTGGGAACAACAGTGGCTTATGGACGGATGGAACATTCCATTGACGGTGCATTACTGCGCAGACACAGCATAGAGGAGAGATACAAGATATATCTCTACTCTATGAGACACAGTGGCGCTCCGCGAGAGCCTTCACATGTCTCAAAGATATAACATTTGGCTAGCACAAGCTTTTCAGAGAAGTACAAGTACGTCTTTGACCGAAGGTAGTGCACGATATCTTTCCATTTAAATAAATTGCGCGCGAAACACGAACGCATTGCAGTGCAGTATTGGATTTAATTTCTGTTAATTCAATGCACTTTTTATTGTGTGTTTGAGGTGCAATTACAAATCCATTCCGAAGTGAAAACCCAAATGTATTTTATAAACGTATGTAGTAGACTACTTTCAATGCGTTTTGAAAAACCAAAGTCAGTATGTCATGTATACGCAAGTTTGTACAACAATAAATAGAATTGAAATCATTTAACACCAAATATCAATAACTTCAATGAGAAGTCACAGAAAAATTTGGTAAAAAGAAAGAGCGTCGAATGGACTAGGTAGTCACACAGTATAGGACAAATTATGCAGATTGTTTAGAGAAATGGGTATAGAGCCTTGTACGTTTGGGCTTAAATTTGTACAGCGAGCTCATGAAATATACTCCAAAGCAAAAGTGTGAGTAAAAACCATTTTGAATCTATGCGTACAATAGAACTCTACGACACTCCTGGAAAAAAACTTTTCGGGAACGTGCTGAGTCGCCATGCGGTAACCTAATGAAGTCGTAAATATTTCGTAGTGGCCCGTGTCGAGCGAAGTCGAAGCGGCTATTGTGAAAAGAAATGTGTCCAGCAGCTAATGAAAGGTACTGTTCAGCGTACTAGCGCGCGCGCGAAGAGAGAGAGGAGAGAGAGAAAGAGAGGAGAGAGAGAAAGAGGAGAGAAAGAGAAAGAGAGGAGAGAGAGAAAGAGAGAGAGAAAGAGAGAGAGAGAGAGAAAGAGAGAGAAAGAGAGAGAAAGAGAGACAGAAGAGGATGATTGGAGGGTTTTCTGGGTTTACTCCATCACTTTAAGGTGTATGCCGGGATGGTTCCTAGGTTTGTTCTCCCAGAACGTAAATGGTACCCAGCTTTGTTTCCCCCCCCCCTCCCCTCTAAAAATGTTCACTACTCTAAATGAAAATGTAAAATTCCAGTGGGTTAGGCGGAAGAGCCAGGCCCTATGGCCCTGAGCCTCGCCATTAATTAAAGACATTAATTATTGATTATTAATTATTTATTATTATTAATTATTTTATTAAATTAAATTAATTAATTAATTAATTTATTATTCATTATTATTATTAATTATTATTATTATTATTAATTATTTATTATTATTTATTATTATTTTATTAATTATTTATTTAATTATTTAATTAATCAATTATATTAATTATTAATTTATTATATTATTATATTAAAATTATTATTAAATTAAATTCTTAATTATTATTATTAATTATTATTATTATTATTTATTAATTATTAATTATTATTATTATTATTATTATTAATTATTATTATTTTATTATTATTTATTATTATTTTATTATTATTATTATTTATTAATTATTATTAATTATTATTATTAATTATTATTATTATTATTTACTTATATTATAATTATTATTATTTATATTATTAATTATTTATTCATTATTATTATTATTATTATTATTTTATTATTATTATTTAATTATTATTATTATTATTATTATTATTATCTATTTATTATTATTATATTATTATTATTATTATTATTATTTTATTTATTATTATTATTATTATTATTTATTATTATTATTATTATTTATTATTATTATTATTAATTATTATTTTTTATTTTTTTATTTTTTAATTATTATAACAACAAAGCAGGTTGCCTCAGACAAGGCTGGGTGATTATCACCGGTTCTCTTTAGCATCTTATTAACCACTTAATAAAGAATTGGCAAAAGAAGGTGAACCAGGAAATTTTAATCAATAGGAGATAGAAAGATTGAGACAATCCGTATGAAGAGTGACCAGGTAAAAGTAGCAGAATCCAAAGACTACTTACAGAGCACAATTTTTGAACTATCATAAGTTACACAGGAATATTCCATGAGAATATCAATATGCAAAACAAAATCCTTTGCAATGCAAGGAAAGAAACAAAGAAGAGTTAAAAGTGAAATAAATGAGGAAATAGTAGAGTGAAATAAATGGGTAAATAAATGAGGAGCATGTAGGGAATTCACTTACCTAGGAAACAGAATTGATGTACTTAACCACACTTGAAGAGACATTGAGAGAAACTACATAACTACTACAGAATGTGTAGACCACTAAAATACACTTTGGAAAGGATAGGGATTCTACCATAATATTGGAAGTTTCATAACATCACAACTAAACAATGTTTCTTATATTGTTCAGAAACGTGGTTTATGAAGGAAAAAGCAGAAAATGCAGGCAGCACAAATTTGTTCCTAAGGCTCCTCTAGGGAGTCACGAGAAGAAGACCGCTTGAGAAACAAGGACATCAGAAGAAACTAAAGACCAAAAATCTAATAGAAGAGATTGAAGAATCCAAAAAGAGATGGAAGAACATATTTACACATTGGAGAGTAAGAGAGTACCAAAACTCATCTGGAAATATAAACCAATTGAAACAAACATTGGAAGATCTTTAAAGAGATGGAAAAATCAAGAACACCCATAAGATTATCTACTAGGTCTACTGAAATCACCAAACCACATAATAGGATCATACCTAAACACCTGCAGTTCATGATGATGATGATGATATGATTATGATTATGATAATTAAAATAAAATAAAATAAAAATTGTCTGAAATCCAAATAAAAACGTTACATTGCCCTATTCTGCGTAAGTTATGCAGTTGTCATCACTGGCAGGTTTGAAGGATATTCTTGCAGTCTTAGTTTTTGTAATGGTGGTGATGAAATAGGATGTATAAACTTCAAGACAGGTCTACTACATCCTTTTTTGCCATGGAGATTGGTCTTGATGTGCTAAAAGATCATCTTGTGAGACATTAGCTTACACTTTGGTAAACGACGTCTGTTTCCATTTTTATTTCGGATATTAATGTTTCCAAAAGACATTTCTGGTAAGATGTTGTTTTGTATTTGATAACAAACCTTCAGCCTTCTCATCCGGATCATCTCATGGTCAGCTATTTAACTGGTTCACCTTTGACTCTTTTTTTTCCTGTTGGTGATACATTTTCTAAATTTTCTGTTGAATGGAAGTCATCATTGTTCATTTCTGTGAGAAAATTCTGGTTTGTTTTTCCTGCAGAGCCAAGAATTTTAACTTACCAATCCCTTGCGAGAAAAGCTGTGTCTCTTGAGAGAAAACACAGTCTCTAGCAGGTTACTAACATTCACATGTTGTTCTACTAGACCCCAATGCCCTCAGACGTCATCTGGTGGTCGCATCCGTACTGTGTACACCATATTTTCCTATGTATAATAGTGCAATAACCACATATGCGGTTATTCGGAATATATAAAATAGTTGCCATAACATCTGAAATTACCCTCGTATCTAGAAACATCAAAATTTATATATATATATATTATAATATATATAGATATATATATATATATATATATATATAATATATATATATAATATATATATTTCCTGTCTTCTCTTCGCGCTTCTCGTGAGCGCTCTTTTTTCGGGCTTCTCTCGCCCTCTCTCTCTGCT